GCAAGACGCGCTCCATCACTCGCCCCTCGGGCGGGGCGCCGCTCCCGCCTCCCGCTCCCACCCGCCTCCCCGGGCCCGCGTCTCCCGGGGCTGGATTCCCGAGGACGCGGCTCCTTATTCCGGGGCTCTTAGCGTCCACTCCCAAACTGGACACCGGGAAAGGGCGGTGGGGACGCTTCCAAGGAAGAAGGCAAACGGGGCGAGACAATTATGTGTGTCAGTGGCCGTGTTTACAGTGCACCTTTATTCCTAAGCGCACGCTCGCGTTCCGGGCTCTTGCCCCGCTAGGAAGTGTAAATCGACGCCAAGCCCTTCCTGGTGCACACAAAGAGACCAACGGTGCGCATGTGTCTAATCCCTCTGCTGCTGAAGACACTGAAGCAATCAGGCCCGCCAGCCCGTCGCGGTCGCCGACGTCGTCTTCGAGAAGCAGCGAGGACCAGAGTGGATAGATTTCTGCACGCGTTTTGATTAAGTGTGGCTAAAAGTGGCTCGTGGCTTTTCATCTTCCAGGGGAAATGGAGACCGTAGCCTGTTAACCGGTAGTGGATGCAAATGATTGATTGAAATGCTCAACTAGTAAAAAAAAAAAACCAAAACAAAAAACAATGAAGAACTTTCTCCCCTTCATGTAGGAACTCATGACATGTAAGAATAGGCTATTCTCCATTGTGAAGAAACTTTAATTTTAAAATTATATCATTTTCATAAGATTCAAGGGAAAATGGGGAGTATTGAACTTTGGCTGCAGGCAATGTATGGATTTTTGCTATAGGAATATAAGAACATTTAGCGCTTTAGTAGCTAATGATGTTTCTAATTAAGAAAATATATATATATAAAGATTAAAAATTTTATAAGTGACTGTAAAAAGTCTATATTTAATAAACGTTCAAAAGATCGTGTTCATTTTTACTTATTATAAGGAGCGGTAGTTTTTCATGTTTCCAGTTAAAATTTCTTAGCCCTATTAGGAACATAATATTAAGAAACAAAGGAAGCTACTTAACTGAGGAAAGAAGAAAAAAAAAAAGAAAACTTGAAGGACCCAGTAGCATATTTCTCACCCCAACCATGTAGGTACCCCAGGTTTGATTTTTGTCCCATCATTATTAGGAGTCTGCATCCAGAGACCATGTAGCCCAACGGGAACTCCAACTTGCCTTATCAGCGTACTATTCCTATTCATTCATTTATGCAGTGAACCTTTGGACTATCAACCATGCAGAGCACCAGATGCTGGGAAAGACATTTAGAGTCACATAGCAAGATCCCTCAGGCTGTCCCTCTGGAAGATGCCAAGCTCTAAACTTGCCAGAAAACTTACATAAATTCCCTAATAACTTGATGTGATTCCCCTCCTCCAAATACATGGGCATGTCCTCTATTCCACTTATTTCTTACTGTTACATGTACTACATGACCATTACTTCTTTTCCTTATATGGAGACTATTTTAGATTTGCAGATGCTGTCAATAGATTATTTTACTCAGCCTTTTTTGCAACCCCATGTATTAAAAAAAAATACTTGCCATTTAATAGATGACGAAACTGAGGCTCAGACGCCTTCAGATGCAGAACCCTAACTTCAAAAGTGGTTTTGGGTCTATAATAATTTCCATAATCACCATAATTTATATAATAATCTTTTCCCACAAATCAGTGGTGAAATATTTAAAGTCAGGGATTAATTTTGTCTCAGCCACAATCTTAGTATTTACTTAAGGGTGAGGTTTGGTTTTCAATAATTACATAATGATTATGCCTCTGCACATATGCTTATGTAGGTTTTTATAACACCCTAATATGATTTAAACATTCTCCTACAGTTACTTTTGATACCTAAATTTCTGATATAGCAATCTGTGTGTGTGTGTGTGTGTGTGTGTGTGTGTGTGTGTGTGTGTGTCTATAACAAGTACCCTCTCCCTTTTTTTGTATTGTTTGTTTGTTTGCCACTTGAAAACATTAGGCTATTTGTCATGTAAGTTTCAGCAGTTCCAAATTTGGTTGATTGCATCCTTACTGCACCATTTATTGTAGTCACCTAAGCCTTAAACTTCCTGCTAACAAGAAACATGACTTAGAAATTTGAGTACTGTCTTCTGTTTTTCAAAAATAATTCATAAGAAAAAGCTTTTGACAAAATCTAGCGTCCATTTAGAATAAAAACTCTCAGCAAAGTGGGAATAGAGGGAACATACTTCAACATAATAAATGCCATATATGACAACCCTCCCAGCTAACACCATACTCAATGGTGAAAAGCTAAAAGCATTCTGCTTAAGATCAGGAATAAGACAAGGATGTCTACTTGCACCACTTTCATTCAACATAGTATTGGAAGACCTAGCCACAGCAATCAGACAAGAAAAGGAAATAAAAGACATCCAAATTGGAAGGGAAGAAGTAAAACTCATTATTTGCACAACACGATAGTATATATAGAACCCTAAAGATTCCACCAAAAAACTATTAGAACTGATAAATAAATTCAGTAAAGTAGCAGGATACAAAGTAAATATTCAGAAGTCAGTTGCATTTTTTTTTAAAGATTTTTATTGGGGAATTGGGGGAGGGGAACAGCTTTGGGGAATCGGGGAAGGGGAACAGACAAGTTGCTGTCCTTTTGTTCTTCAGTCTAGTTGTAGAGGATGTTGCTTCACTGGCCCAAGTTGGCACCATCATTGCGCTCTTCCCGGGCAAGGCAGATCAGTCGCCGGCTTCTGGACAGCCGCTCACGGCGGCTGCTGGCCGCTCACGCTGGCCGCTGGCTACACACGGTAGCCCATGGCAACCCACTGCAGCAGGGGTTGGGGTCTACACTGTTGCGGGCAACTCACAGCAGCCCAGCTCCAGGTGGAGCTGTTGTGCAGCATCTTAGCTGTAGAGGGCAGTGTCACTGGCCCTCATATGTGGGATCCGAACCGGGGCCCTCTGGCATCCCAAGCCAGCTCTTAACCAATCTGCCACTTGGCCGGCCCCAGTTGCATTTTTATACACCAATAACAAACTACTAGAAAGAGCAATTAAGAAAACAACCTCATTAATGATTGCATCAAAAAATAAAATACCTAGGAATAAATTTAACCAAGGGAGTAAAAACCTGTGCTTGGAAAATTATAAGATATCAAAGAAAGAATTTGAAGAAGATACAAATAAATGGAAGCATATACAAATGGATAGGGTGAATTAACATCGTTAAAATGTCTATAATATCCAAAGCAATCTACAGATTCAGTGTAATCCCTATCAAAATACCAATGGCATTTTCACAGAACTAGAACAAATAATACTAAAATTTATATGGAACCACAAGAAAACCTTGAGTAGCCAAAGTTATCTTGAAAAGAAGAACAAAGTTGGAGGTATCATTGCTATCTGATACCAAACTATGCTATACATCTATAGTAATCAATGTAGCATGGTACTGACATGAAAACAAACACACAGTTCAATGGAACAGAAGAGGGCCCAGAAATAAACCCACACCTATATGGTCATTAAATCTATGACAAAGGAGGCAAGAACATACAGTGAGGTAAATACAGGCTATTCAATCAATGGTGTTGGGAAAACTGGACAGACATACACAAAAAAATGAAACTAGACAACCTTCATATACCATATATAAGAATAAACTCAAAATGGATTAAAGACTTAAATGCCAGACCTGAAACCATAAAACTCCTAGATAAAAACATAGGCAGTAAACTCTTTGATATTGGTGTTAGCAGTATTTTTTTGGATATGTCTCCTTGGGCAAGGGAAACAAAAGAGAAACAAACAAATGGGACTAATCAAACTAAAATGTTTTTGCACAGCAAAGGAAACCATCAACAAAACAAAAAAAACAATCTACTGAATGAGAAGATATTCACCAGTGACTCATCCAATAAGAGGTTAATATCTAAAATATATAAAGAACTCATACAAATTAACACCAAAATAACAAATAATCTGATTAAAAAATGAGACCTAAATAGACATTTCTCTAAAGAGGACATACAGATGGCCAAGAGACATGTGAAAAGATGCTCAACATCATTAATCATTAGTGAAATGCAAATTGAAACCAAAATGAGATACCCCCTCACTTCTGTCAGAATGACAATCATCAATAAGTCAACAAACAAGTGTTGGCCAGGATGTAGAGACATGAGAATCATCCTGCCCTGTTGGTGGGTTTGCAAATTGGTGCAGCCATGATGGAAAACAGTATAGAGGTTCCTCAAAAATTAAAAACAGAAGTATCATATGACCCAGCAATCCCACTTCTGGGTATTTATATGAAGAAATCCAAAATACTAATTTGGAAAGATTTATGAACCACCCCTATGTTCACTGCAGCATTACTTACAATAGCCAAGATATGGAGGCAACCTAAGTGTCCACTGATAGATAACTGGATAAAGAACAAGTGGTACAAATATACAATGGAATATTACTCAGCCAACAAAATACGAAATCTTATCATTTGTGACAACATGGATGAACCTAGACAAGATTATGCTAAGTGAATAAGTCAGACAGAGAAAAACCAATATCATATGATTTCACTTATATGTGGAATCTAGAAAACAAAATAAACAAACAAACAAAACAGAAACAGATTCATAGATAGAGAACAAACTAATGATTGCCAGTTGGGAGGAGGGTTGGGGGGCTCGGTGAAAAAGAAAAAGGG